TATTAATGATTTTACATAATCATTATTATCCTTTTTTTATTATTTTAAAATAAAGTAAAGAAATGGAGTGGTAGTTCCAAAAGAAGGCGATTCTCATAGCAGAAGTTGTGGTGCAACAAATCAAACGAAAACCCCTTTTTCTCTTTCACCTTTACTAACTTTCTTTCGTTTTCAGCTACAATCCCTAATATTTCTGTGTCTGTGGTGGAGCCAAGGTAAGGATGTTTCCGTCATTGTAGTGTTGTTGATTTTCTGTAGTTTTCTACTGTAAGCAAAAATTTGTTTGTCATGACAGGATTAAGGGTTTCATCTTCTATTTCTGCATTCCTCTTCTGATATCTTCTCTTGATTTCATCATCTGGTCTTCAGCTTTGATCCACGTCAGAATTCGTCGACTCCTTTGCCAAAAACTGTTGTTGCTACCAGCTCAAGGTATAGTAGCATTGTAGGCTTTCGTCTTGCTTGGAAAATTCTGCTAGTTTAGTTTTAAGCCTTTGAGAGTGAGTGAGAATAGAAAAACAGTGAAACGTGTTATTTGCACTCTGCGAGTTGGCCTCATGCAACATGGGAAATATATTGATGAGTGTAAGACCCGAGGATTTTAATATGTAAAAGAAAATAAAATTAAAGGTTTGGTGGTTATGTGTGTGTGTTTGTTGGTGTGACCTTGTGTTCAATCTAGCTGGGAGCAAAACTGGTGTTATTTTTAATTGCTGCGGTTTTAAATTTTTTGGGGTATAGACAGAGTCAGGAGGCTCATTTTCCTTCTACTCTTCTATTCTATTTTCTCGTTTCTCTCTTCTCCCCTGGCTTTTCTCTTTTGTTTTCTTTTTTTCTTAAAAACCATAGAGGGGCGAAAGTGAGGGTTGCGGCGTGAGTGAGAGTAAAGAGCATTCCATAATCGTTTGAGATGAAGGAGTGAGAAACACCGAGAGAGGGAGTGGTGGTATATCAGAGAGGAGATGTTAGAATTTGGAGACAGATGGAAAGCGAAAGTAGGATTTTGGAGTAAGGGAAGAAATCGGAAAAGGTATGGGGAGCTAATTTGAATCTGTTTTATTATATGGGTGTGTATCTGTAAAAGAAAAACCTGAAATTCTCTCTTTGATTCTTGATTTGTGATATTGATGTTTTTTGAAGGTTATACACTTGTCCAGTTTATAAAAAGTCATGCCTTTTGATTCGAACGTTAGAATGTTCAGTGATTGAGATTAAATTGTTTAGAATCTGGGTTCTGGAAATGATAATGGTATATTATGTGATATATTCCATGAGAATGTAAATGAGTGTGCCCTGCGTTTTTTATTTGATTAGAAAAAAAAAGAGAGCGTTGTATACGTTGGAATTTTCGAAATGGGACATAAGAGGAATGCCTATGTTTAATTGTTGTTTTCACACTGTTTTAATTATTGTTTCTGCACCAGAAAACCTTGCTGTTTGGTACTGTTCTGGATGCTGTATTGCACCCAATTCATTTGCTGGTTGCTCCAAAAAGCGCTTGCTGTTAGCTGTTATAAATTCTACAAATTCCTTGCTGTGTTAAAATAAAATTCTGCAGAAAAATGGTTGCTGTTTTACTTTGTTTCTGTCATGAAAAATGCTGCTGTTTTAATTTGTTTCTGCCATGAAAAATGCTGTTGTTTTTACTTTGTTTCTGCCATGAAAATGCTGCTGTTTTTACCCTGTTTCTGCTCAGAAAAAATGTTGCTGTTTTAAAGTTTTTGCACCAGAAAATGTTGCTGTTTGAATGAAAATATTGTATCAGAAACCTGCTGTTTGCTGATTGAACGAAAATGCTGTTTGGAATTTTAAAGTTTAGCTGTTTTGGGTTAAAAATCTGCAGAATATACTTGCTGTAATTGCTGTAAAAATAATATAAAATACTCGCTGTAATTATTGTAAATATGGCATAATATACCTGCTGTAATGGCTGGAAAAATTGCATAAAATGCTTATCGGTTGCTATTATGGATATTGGTATAAAGCCTTGCTGTCCTTGCTGAAAAATAATTGCAGGATTGATGTTAGAAAAGTAAATTGATGGTATGATTTATACATTGTGTATGAATGTTGGTTGGTTACGTCAAATTGGAGTGTTAAAGGGGGTATGATCAATCTTAATATCATATGGGTTGTTATATACATTTGGATGTATTCGATCTGTATATGCTGGAATTGCGGGTTATGTCATTCATTATTATGTGTTAGGATGCACAATAACCATTGAAGATAGTTGATGTTGCTATTATCCGTTGTGCAGATTTTAAAAACACATTTTTAATGATTTGTAGCTCTAGTAAATTACTTGTTGGGTAATTTTAAGTACAAGAAAATGGTTGGATAAATAAAGCAGTTATAATGCAAATTTAGTCTAATGTAGCTGGGTGTTTAAACTTGTAAATGATATGAAATCACTTGATACTATAATACTGCATTTGGTTGAGTTTGTTAATTATTATAAGTTGTTAGGTGTGTTTATATGATGGGACAATAAGTGTAACATTTGGTTTAGCTTTGTTAATCTGCTTGCCATTTTGGGTAATAATAAATCTGCAGTTGAATGAGTGCTATGGATACTAAATAAAATTGTTTGTACATTGACATTTATATTTTGATAATGAACTTGGTTGATTATGTTTGGAGATGCATGAATTTTATAGATGTTATAATTTTGCTGAATTAATTCTAGATCTGTATATGATTGGTTATGATATGAATCAATGATGCTGGTGGAGATAGATTGATAGCTTGTGATGCAGAGATAGTATAATGATCATGCGTTTACAAAATATTGGAATGTAATTGAGAAGTTAATGGCTGTTTTAAGTAATTCAAATACAACATGTTTGTGCTTATGAACTGGTTAACATTGATATGGCGGTTTAGTGTGTATATCTGTTGGATGGAGTGATTGTGTTGATCTTAATTATGCTTGGACAATCTTGTTCATGGGTGTTGTAAGATAGATATTATATGGTTGTTCAATATCACTTTGATTGAATTGGTTGCCATATGGAATATCTTTTGCTCTCAAGTTGGCTAGTCATGTTGGTAAACTCTTGAGAAATGATAGAGTTGGAAATGTACAAGTAAGGGTGAGTTGTAATGGTTAAATGCATGTGGTTAATCTTAAATTTCTCATCTGCAGATGTCTGGTAAATCAGGACGAGTCCGGGAGTCTGACTTCGAATACTATGAACGCGAGTATTATAAAGATTTGAAGGATGGTTACTATAAACTCGAAATCTCCAAGTCATCATATAGGTGTCCCTTTTGCCGGGAGAATGATTACTCGTTGAGTGAGCTTTTGAAGCATGCGGTGAGATTTGAAAGGTACTCACGGACCATGAGGATAAAAGAGTTAGCTAAGCACTCTGCTCTTCAATTATACATTGAAAGACATCTTGGTGTCGATAATAGATCTGAAAAAGTTGCTGATGATAGGCCAAGGAATGCCATCCTTGATGGAGCAGGAAAGGTTGTGCATGATAAATCTGAAAATGTTGTCAATGATAGACCAGTAAGCATTGGAAATGTTGAAAATAAATCTGAAAATGTTGCCAAAGAACATCTATTTGTCTGGCCTTGGGTTGGTGTTGTTGGAAACATTGTCACTGAATTTAAAGACGGAAGGCGTGTTGGTGAAAGTGGTGCCAATCTAAGAGATGAGTTTACTCGGAAGGGATTTCATCCCATGAGAGTTCATCCATTATGGAACCGATATGGACATTCAGGCTTTGCGATTGTAGAGTTCTCCAAAGACTGGGAGGGTTTCACCAATGCAATGAACTTTGAAAGAAGTTTTGAGGCAGAACACTGTGGTAAGAGAGATTACTATATTTCACGCAACCGAGGTAATAAACTGTATGGATGGATAGCCCGTGATGATGACTACCATTCCAATACTATAATCGGTGATTACCTTAAGAAGAATGGAGATTTGCAATCTGTTTCTGAAAAACAAGCAGAGGAGAAAAGGAAAACTTCACTGCTTGTCTTTGATTTAACTAATACCTTGAAAGTGAAACATGAGAAATTGGAACAAGTATCCAGCAAATATGATGATGTTAATGTGGCCCTGAACAGGGTCATGAATGAGAAAGAAGCAATGATTGAATCATATAACAATGGTACGTTGAAGTTTGAAGTGAATTGTTTACATTCCTATTTTTCGCTTCTGCTTTTTTCCTCATAACTTATTGTTTGTTTCTGTGTTGAAAGGTGAAACAATCAGGTTGTGATCATATCTACTTTTCCTGATAGCCTACTTTTTGTTTTATTTTGAAGTGAAAATTTTCTAATCTTTCTTGGTACCTTCGTGTTTCATTGTTCAATAAGAAATGAAAAAGATGCGGCAAGAAACCCGACAAAATTGGGAGACAATTTATGTGGCCCATGAAAAGGCCAGATTGGATCTGCGTGCTCAGAGGAAAATACTAGAGGACCGTGAGAAGGATCTTCAGAGATGTCAAGTGCAAAATGAGAATGAGAGAAAAAAACTTGACCTTGAAAAGAGAAACGTAATCATTTTTGGCTGCTTAAAATTATGGATATTGGCAGGTTTTTCTTTCTTTTTTTGCGAAGTTCAAATAATGCTGCATTTATTTAAGTAATTTGAAGAGTGATTCATTTATTGCAGAATGATATGGCAATGATGGAGCAAAACAAGGCGGATGAGAGAGTGTTGCATTTGGCAGAAGAACACAAGGCACTGATTGAATGTTCTTCATTGTACCTGTAATTAATTTAGTTCCTCTGTATGTATCCAAATAAGATTTGACAGAGTCATTTTTGTGTTTGAAATGCAGAAAGAAAAGCAGAAAATGCATAAAAAGATTCTTCAACTGCAGAAAAAACTCGATGCCAAACAAACATTGGAATTGGAAATTCAACGGTTGAAGGGAGCTCTGGAGGTCATGAAACAATTAGTAGAGGACGACTACGAGGAGCAAAAAAAATTGGATGAAATTAAAGTGGAACTTGAAGATAAGGAAGATGAGTTGAAAGAACACGAAGATCTTCAACAAGCTCTTGTTGTCAGAGAACGGAAAACCAATGACGAGTTGCAAGATGCTCGCAAGGAGTTAATACTTGTATGTCTTTTTCTAAGCATAAATGTATGTGTTTGATGTTATTTGAACTTTAGTCATTTGATTGAAAGGTCTCTTCCGATTAATCATTTTACTAACTGGGAGGGAGGGCTTTTATTTGTCTAAATTTCGTGGTAAAATTGTGAACAAATGTAAGGTTTGTCTTGAATATTTTAATTGACATACAACTGGTTGTATATTAATCACTGCATACTGTTTCATGTTTAGCAGTCTGCCTATTATCATTATAGTCTTATAATTTGTATCATATTCAGAATGATATTGGTGATTAGCTGCAATGGACTTAAACTCATCTCTTATCCATGTATTTGCGATGCACAAGCTACACCTACCGTGGGTTAACTTGTGTTTTGAATACTTCTTAATTTCAGTTTTTCAATGGTATTATCTTCTTTGAATCATGTGGTTGCTTATTGGCCCTTTGTCAAATGAGTATATGTGTGTTGGTGTCTAATGGATATGATGGAAATCCACATTGTTTAGCATTTCTGAAAAAAAATGGTAGAGTTAGGTCAAATCCATTGTCTATAAAATTGGTATGATGCTTAACCTTTTTAGCAAATATGTTCTATGGTTCTTCTAGTTTGTTATGTTACTTATTGTTACTGCGATGGATGTCTTTATGTTTGTATTCTCTGTGTGTAATATAATATTCTTGTTCACAGTGGCTGAGGAAGTCACACAGTAATCGGGCTACTATTGGTGTTAAAAGAATGGGGGAGCTCGATGAAAAACCCTTTGTGGGAGCAGCTAGGAGAAAATTTTCTGATGATGAAGCGGATGTGAGAGCATTGGAGTTGTGCTCACAATACGAGGCATATCTTAGAGATCCAAGCTGGCATCCATTTAAAGTTTTAACAGATAAGGAAGGAGGAAAGGCTAAGGTACACTGATTACGTCTTCAAATTGAAACCATATATTTTTATCCGTAGAACTTTTCATGTGGTCATTTTAATAGCGGAAGCTACCTGATGGCTTCATTAGCCTAGCTAGTAGCACTTCAAAAATTCATTGCATCCTTTCATAATATTTAAAACTGTGGGGAGAAGGTTTGACACCTTCGTTCATTGTTATTAGTTTTATAAACAATGGTTAGATGTAATTACTTTTCATAATTATAAATATCCTAATATTCTATTGTTTGATTTGTGCTAGTCTATGTTAAGAATATTATTAAGTAGAATAGAAGATAACCAATCCATTCGTGGTTTGTCTAGCCTATTTTTATGAAAATAAAATAATATGATTAAGGAGATATATTCACATCCACCTCCAAATTGATGCAACTGGTCAAAGAACATCAATTTGCTTACAAGGAACTAATAATATCTGGAGTGAGGAAGCCTTGGTGAGATTATTTGCAACCTGAAACTAAATATTGATGTGATAGATTGATATAATATGGTTATCATAAGCCTTACGAGTAAATTGACAATCTACTTCAGTGTGTTTGGTGTGTTCCTGAAAGTGAGTATTGATGTAAGAGATTGATATAATATGGTTATCATAAGCCTCATGAATAAAGAGACAATGTACTATAATATACTTGGTTTGTTCATGGAACATTGGATTTGCAGCAATCTGAATAGTACGTGTGTTGTCAATCTGAAGTGGTGTCGGATCTACTTGAGGAAATTGAAGTTTAGCCAACAGGCCACAAAGCCAAAGAATTTTAGAACAAGCATTGAACTTGACACAATACTCTGATTTAGTAGACAATTTAGAGATTCGTGCTTGCTTTCTTATTATTCTGTTAGATCAACAAGGGGCTAAAAAAGGCATCAACCAATAACCCATTATCCAGTAACAGAACACCCAGCCCGATATCACTATAATCGATCAATTTAAGAGTTGTGTCAATGCGAAAGAAGAAATCACGTTAAGAGGTTTCTTCCTAGCAGTGAATTATACAAAGTATTACTGCCAAGTGTGGACGAGGAGAATGCATTAAGTGACTCACTTGTTGAACGACAAACAATATATCAGGTTGTGTAATAGTCAAACAAATTTATTGATATATTAAAATGTTTGACAAAAAACACCTTCATCATAGTGATATTTGACATCAATTTCTAGAGTATCCATTGGATTAGATAATTGGATGCCAACCATAGATATTTTAAATGTGTTATATTAATGCGAATGGAGATATGTACCTTTGGATGTAGAATGAACCTCAAGGCCAAGAAAATAATGCAAAGGACCACTTTGGGCCCCTTTGCTGTTAGGTTCCTGGGTTTGGAACCTAACTAAGAACACAAACAGTAGGTAGAAAATGTAATGAAAGAATGGGTTCTATTATTGACAGCGATAGAAATCTCTTTTCAAAGAATGGTTTGGGAGCATAACCTCCATGGTAGAGAGCCCAACCTCCCCCCTCAGGATGACAAATCCTGTTAGAACTACAATCAAAACAATCAACAACCATCTACAATTGTTTATTTTCTATTTATACAGCCAATAACCCCGCCCTTCCTAACTGCTAAGGCAGTTAGGCATTTAATGTTTTATTCCTTCTCTCGTAAACTCTCCATCTTCTAACATTTGCTTTCACCTTATCCAATAATTGTTCGTTGGAAAAGTTAACATTACAATTATTGTCAACTGATTGAACAACAAACATGTAGTTAGAAGCATGGCTAGGTGATACGAGCACATTTTGAAAGTAAGAGTTTATGTCACCACCACATCAACAATTTGAATTTTTTTGATTACCATGATAAGAAATATACAATGTGCAAGTACTATGTGAAACTTGCCACATGATTGGATGCACCACAATTAAGAAACCATGGATGCCCAATGCCGAAAGAGTTGCCAGTAACCATTTGTTGGATTGTTTTAGGTTGTATAATACCATTATTAGATGCATCATGGTTAGGAGGACAAGTCTTGTTAGTGGTACTATATGAAATGCTTGTTGTGACCTTTTTTATTTTCGTGGGGGATGCGTGAGGCAGTTTGAGATATGTATGACTGATGACCCTACTATTTGATGTAATGAAAACTTCTTACTGTAGTTATGAGGCGGATGTCCAAACTGTTTGCAGGAAAAAACATTGGACCCGTCACATATCACAACCTTTGCCTTAACTTTGGGTTACATATGCTATTGTTATAGATTCTAGAAAGACAACATCATGACTCATGAATCCTTAGGTAAGAAAATGTTTTTCTTTCCTCAGAAGTTGACCAACTCATGCATCCGAAGAAGGAACAAGATTCCTATCAAGCAAGGCATTGCTAACAGTCTCAAACTTCGTATGTAATTGGTTATTTATAATATGGTAGAGTGATTTGTCCACAAATTCAGAAAGTCGGAATAACGCTCTTGAATGGACAAATTACTTTGTATGTAATTGGTTAGTTATATCTTCAATTGAAAATGCTTGGTTGTGTTGTCCTGATTGTAAATTTATTGTAAATATTCACAAGTTAGTTGAGCAGTTGAGAAAGAGCCCAAAATATTGACCATTCGTGGATTTAATAGTTTTGAGAATCTAAGAGATAATTTGATCATCTTTTACTTCCCAAGCATCAAAGGTTACTTGATCTGTCGGTAGCCTGGAAAGCCCATCTAGTTGACCCCATATTTCTTTCCTTTAACTAAATTTGTTGCGATCATCAAGTAGCACGGTCACAACAAAACAAGGAAAACTGTGAAAAAGAAATGTGAAGACGAAACAAACTATGTTGAAGAAGGTTGAGAATCCAAATTACATGCTAGAACAATGACTATGAACAAGAATGACGATTAAGAGCAGTGACCATGAGTGAGAATAGAAACTACAAGCACAAATAGAGAATCGAGAGAATGGCATCCATTAATCACTATTGAGAATAGGGACTGTGAGCACAAACAGAAACTGCAACGCAAATGGGTACACCACAAATCAAGATTGAGATCAGGGACCCTGAGCACAAACAGAAATGTTACGACAAGGTTAACCTGTTCATACAAGGATCCAAAATTTCTTAACAGACGCCCCTCCTTCACAGGCTGACACCTGGTGAATTCGGGACTCCTTCGTGGGAGTAGGAGTCTCAATGATGTTCGAACTCGAGACATTGATGTTCGCAGCAGAACTCTAATACCATTGTTACAAAAAGGTTAACCCGTTCATACAAGTATCCAAAATTCTTTAACAAGAAACCGCAACACGAACAAGAATCTCAAATCACAAATGAGAATAGGAACCACATACAGAAACTGCAACACGAACAAGGATCTCAAATCACAAATGAGAATAGGAACTACATACAGAAACTGCAAAGCAAACAAGAACCACAAATCATGTGCTAAGAATAGGTCACATCGAGAAACCACTGGCCTCACTGAAAATGTGGAAAGAAGGGTTAAATATGTATTTTGTCTCAAATTATTTTCAAAAATTGTATTTTGTCTCTAAACTAAATATATACTTATTTTATCCTTGCATTCTATGAAAGTCAAGTAAAACATTATATTATAGTCTATTGTGGAGTTCTGATTGTGACATGGTAAACACTTCGTATGACACTTGCTTGAGAGGATGTTTTACCTTATTTTTATAAAGTGCAGAGACGAAATATGTATACATTTAAGTTAGAAATGAAAAACATATTTAATCGGAGGAATGAACAAACTAGTGAACAAGACTAGATCTGAACTTGTTTAATACCATGTCATAACAAGGAGGTTGGATACCTTTGTTCATTGTTATTTGTTCTGCAAGTAATGTTCTGTAACGTTTACATATAATTACCGGTTATAATTATAGATATTACATTGTAGCTTCTTTTTTAAGTATTTTGTATACAATTGAAGAGGACGGATCAAGATGATTTGTCTAACTTATACTTAAGAGAACAAAATAATATAATTAAGATAAAATATTTTCTAATTTTAAAAAGATATGGTACGATGTAGATATTGTGTAGAAAGATCATATGGCAGGGTAAGATGCGACTCATGTTTTTGTGCACATAGTTTGTCGGTTTTTTCTTTTTCTTTTTCTTTTTCTGATGCTCCTACATGGATAACGATCTAACTTATGTTGGATGTGTTATACAGGAAATTTTAGATGAAGAAGATGAAAAGCTGAGATATTTGAAGAATGAGTTTGGTGATGAGGTCTATCGAGCTGTGACTACAGCTCTGATGGAGTTAAATGAATACAATCCTAGTGGTAGATACCCAATACCGGAGATGTGGAATTCAAAGGAAGGAAGGAAGGCAGCGTTAAAGGAGGGCATTGCATATTTAATTAGGCAATGGAAAGTGTCAAAGCAGCGAAAGAAGTAGGATCCCATGGGAAACTTCAATTTTAGGTTCTTCCTACTGATAAAACAGGATTTACTTGAACTCCACAGTGACAAAAATCATACGGTATGTTGTTACATGTAATACTGACTGATATCAGACCTTGGTAGAAAGTGAAGCTTCTCATATATTGTTTAAATTTGACAATTTATTTTGTTATTCGTGTGGTGCTTTTAATTTGATGGTTTATTATCTTGTTAATTCAACAATTAAAAATTGAGAAAACTATAATCATGCTTATCTTGTCTTACGATTTTTTTATCAAAGGTGACAATTTGTTGTATTTTAGCATTAAAGATGAGTCCCAATATTATAGAACTCTTCATTGACTAATTTAATTCATATCTTTATTGAATATTTTACTATTAAGCTTGGTCGTACTTAATTTTTTTGGAAAGGTTGTTACTTCATTAATAACTTAGTTGTGAATACATTATTCTATAAAATCGTTATATTCATTTAAAATAAAAATGAAATTATTTGATAAAAAGTTAATGAAAGCAGTGATAGGTGAATGTACGCACTAACAGTTGTGAATGGTTGAGGACTCTGTTTTCTCTTCTTCTTTCCAGAGTCACCACTCCAATCCTTTGAATTATTGAGACCAAATTTTGGAAAGTTATTCTTACTTAGGAGTTTTTTTTTTCAAATATTATTTTATTTTTTCTAATCTTTATAAGAGGCTGAACAAAGCTCTTGGCCTCCGATATCACATTAGAAGAGAGCGAAGTTTAACTGCCAACGCCGACTGGGCGGCTCGCCTGATAGTTCATAAATTTAAATTATAAAAAAATATAGATGATTTTAATATTAAATAGAAAAACAAAAATTTCATGAAATAATAATAATTATTTTTAATAATTGTGTATAAAAGTAAAAATTATTAATTAAACATTTAAATAAATGTGTGAATTTATGATTAGTAATACTTCTATTTTTAATAAAAAAGTTTAATAATTACAACCAAAAAAATTAATATTAAAAAAATATTATTGTTATTTTGTTTTAATTGAATATTTTATTTATTGTGTTTGAATTAGTTTTTTTTTCTTTGAATACAATGTCTTATAATTGTTAATTTAAAATACAACATTAATAAATAAACAGGTTCATGTGATTAGAAATATTAATCCGTATTTTTTATGTGAAATTGGTCAACTCGATTCATTTATAGAAGTCAAATGTGAGATGGGTTGAAACTGGATGGACCAGCCGACATTAATACCCTTAATTAACTCAATATTAACAAATTGGCCAAATGTGTTAACTTATAAACATAAATTAATTTTATTTTATCTCTTATTGAGGGGTGTTGCTCCCTTCACCTCCACAGCCTTCTCCCTCCACCTCCCCAATTATTTAATTCCAATTATTCTCAAAGTTAAAATTTTATTTTTATTATTTTATTATTTTAATATTTAAAATATTATAAATATAAACTAATATCAAATATAATTATAAAATACATTAAAAAGATATTCACAAAATAATAAATCAAAATTAAAATATGCTAATAAAATAATAACAGAAACATAAATTTAAACACAAAGCTAAACGGATGACATCCTTCAAGGATGTCAACATCCGTTTAAGGCGAAACGGATGTCGACATCCTTTGCCTTAAACGGATGTTGACATCCGTTGAAGGATGTCATCCGTTTAGGCTTCGTTTTCATTTTACGTTTTAGGGTTAAAGGATTATTGGGAAAATTATTGGAAGAAAGGATTATTGGAAGGTTTAGGTGTTTAGGATTATTGAAGGATTATGACTACGTACCTGGAGAGGAACCATGACAAGCACATTACACCACAAACGCACTGCACCACGTACTGCACCGAAAGCAAGAGGAAGATTGCTTGATAATTCTTTTCACGATCACTGAGCTTTGCAGAAAAATATTTTACTCATACAAGGAACTACGTAGGTTATCAGTGAAATATGTTATAAATGAGTAAAATTAAAAAACAATAATTCTAAAAATAAAATTTTACTGAGGGGCAAAATAGTAAAGGGGAAGTGGAGGGAGAAGGCTGTGGTGGTGGAGGGAGCAACACCCCTTATTGAGATATAGACAATTTCCATAAGGAGTGTAATGCATGTCATGAATCTATATCTGATGTGTTGTAGAATTTATTTTTTTTCAAAAGAGATATAACCTTATAAACTAAATTTGAAATCAGAAATCGATTAGGTAAGAAAGAGATTAATACTCTAAACTATTGTTTTTAATTAAATATACAAAAATAATATAAGCAAATTATATTAATTTTTCTCCCAAATCAAACAAAATATTATTTATTATTTATTTACATTTTAAAAATTATTTATGTAAATATGACGAGGATTGACCTTTTTATATATTGCTATTCACAACAAAAAAATTAACATTATTTATAATCGGTATCTTTTTAATATTAAATTTTAATGCAGAAAATTTATATATTTAAAGCTAAACTTGTTTTAATAAATACTTTTATATTAAGTCAATCGCTGTTATAGAAATGCCTTTTATATATAGTTTCTGTTTGTGAGTCATAAAGAAACAGAAACATCAAATTTGAATAGTGGCAGCGGGATGCTCGATATTTTGTCACCAATTTGGCGGGTGGTCAGGTTATTACATTTAACTCACCATTTCATACTGATTTACGGATGAATTTTATTTGATTAAAATATTTTATTATTTATTCCTTTTTTTTCGAAAATCAACGTAACCCACCATGCTTCCTTCGATACAGTGGACAATATAATATATATTCAATTGATAGCACTATATAATATAATATAATACCAACATTTTATAAAATAAAAATGCTAATTAGCCGCGGGCTACCGTTTTTTCCCTAGCCGCTTCAGCATTTCCTACACTAATCGGAGCATACAACTTCACGCGCGCACCCTAACATTAATTAATTAATTCAAAAATAAAACACTATGAATCATCAAACCAAACAAAGGTCAAACCCTTGTGCTACAAAAGCTGTCACTCACTCACTCACTCATTCTTCATCACTAATCAACTTCTCCCTGCATTTCATCACAGTCTCCCAAACATTGCAGTCAAAAAAAATCCAAAAAGGGCAAAAATGGAAATAGATGGGATTGGGAAGCCGAACAAAAAAGAAAAGGACCTTGTACTTTTTATATTTATATATATATTTTTTGAAAGAAAATAAAATAAAATAAAATTAGAAGAAAGAAATAGAGTAAAGGGTGTTGTGTATGGTGAGAGTCAGACACGGAAGTTTTTTCCGGTGAAAGTTTGACCAAATTGCCAATGTGGCGGAGCAATGTTCCAGGAGGTGGAAGAGCGACGGTCACTGGCGGTGACTCTGAAGGACAAAGCTTGTCCCACAAGAACCGCGTTTGACTGCCAGTTTTGACCCCAGTTCCGGCTCATTGGCATCCAACCGGTTCGCGACCCTTTAACGTAGGTGTGCACCAGATCCCCTGCACCCGCTACGTTGCTGATCAGCACCAAGTTGAAGTAACGGAAGCCATTGATCGTGAACCTCATTCCCCCATGCTTCATACATGGCACCCTAAACCAAAAACCAACCAACATTAACCACCAACTAACTAATGACAACTCGAACCTTACTTTTTAACAATAAATGTCTGTACCTGCGGTAGGCGACAGGTACTATGCCGGCGCGGTATTCCGCGATTTTGAGGAACATGGGCATGGCGAGGTCGAAGTGAGGGCGAGGGGGGTTGCACCAGCCTCCATTGTCGTTAGGAAGAGCGTAGTTTGGGGGACAGAAGTTGGTCGCAGTGATGAAGATGGAAGGGCTTCCGGAGTGACACCACTGTTTGTCGTTTGCGCATTTTATCTCAAAACACGCTCCGCAGCTCAGGCCGTTGTTGAACAGTGCCGTGCTCAACGCCGCCGTGTTAACTCCGTATCCTTGACTGTACAGGTTTCCATACCCGCAAGCTCCCCCTGAACACACACATTGTTAGAGAAAATGATAAACGTCGACAAATCATGTTACATGTTACGTGCTACATGTTAAAACCACAGTGTACACACCCATGGTTCCGGATGCATCGGATCCTCCGTAGAAGGTGGCGTGAGCACTTTGCCACGCGCCGCCGGTATAAACGCCTGGAATTCGAGCTTCCACCATCCGCATTATGGACGCAAGGAACAGTGCTACAGTTAGCAGACCCATTTCTTTTGCCTTGAAAGTGAAGAGAAAGCGAAGAAGAGAGAGAGATAATGGGATGAGTATTGAGTGGGTTAGCGAGTAGGGATGGATGGAGTACTTATGGACGAGAAGCCTTCTTGGTGGGAACTCAGACCTTCTTCACTGTGGGGTCCACATTCAGCATTCTCGATCTTCTCTCTACTTATTAAATGCCACCTTTTTTCTTAAAAATTAATTAATGCCTTCCTTTTGTAATTGTAATGGTAAGAAAAAAATAAAAAGCTTCTCTTTCTTTCTTTTATTTTACTTTACATTACGTGATATGTAAATCTGTTCCCACCATCAGTCCGTAGGTTACACTTCCAGATTCTACTGCCACTGTCATCACTGTGGGTTCCATGCAATAATATAATAAGTACTCTGTGTGGGGAAGTGTTGGATTTTCGGATTTTGCTTTCTTTTTTGTAAAATTATGTTCATTTTGAATGAGGGAGCTGAATCATGATCATCCAACAGACAATGTGAAAAGGACAAGCAAACGAACCAAATCCTTGGGAAATTCGATTTTCAGTTTGTCACGTTCATATTAGTTGGAATGGAACCTGTTCGAATGAATGCAGTAACCATTATCTGTTCAGATTAACATGTCTCCAACTCATTTCCTTCTCATGACATGAGTGTCTGTATGTACTACTAATGGTAAACATCTGTAAAACCTATTCGTCTCCAGATAAGGTTGTTTTTCGGTCTTTTTTTTAATCTTTCATAATAATAACAAAAAATGTGGCAGTGGTGTTCAAAGAAAGAAGCGGAGATTAGTGGGTGGCGTGATGTGCGGGCTTGATGAGAGTAGGTGAATCCCCCAACGACATGATTTATTATATAAATCATACAAGTGTCACACGTCAACCAAGAATGATCAAAATCAAAATACTTTTTTTTTAGACCAGAGTAAATACAGTACAATATACACTTCTTACTTTTTATCCCAGTTGCAAATAACATTCTTAGACTCTCTGTCAGTATATTTTACATGTATGTATAATGTATAATGTATAAATAAACAATTCAAGGGTACGTATTACAGTAGGATTTGAAGTTCTCCTTTTCATTTCCCTTTCAATCAAACAAGTATAATAATCACGTAATCGAAAGAAGTTGTAAATGGTGATTGGGAGATAAGAGACAAGAAATTCAACAGAAAAAGCAGGAACACAATACACACTTAAGAAGAGTGAATGGTGGACCCTCTCTTCTCCTCAATCATCGCTCCGCTCTCAGTGCCCTTTAACTATGCCTACGTGGTCCACCTAAACCCAATGCACATGCATGCATAAATACCTCCTTTTAACTAACCTTAGGATTATAATCTTTATAATCTCTATCAGTAAATTAATATGTATAATCTTTATATCACTCATGTAAAGATTTATAGCATACCACTCTTCCCTTTAAGGTATATATTCTTATCACTAAATATGAAAAACACTTCATTTTCCTCACAGCCTAAGTCTTCAACTTTTCTTTAGTTATGATAAGAGCTTGTAGATAATTGTCAATCTATAATAATAAGTACACTACTTTTTGTTAACTTTAATCAAAAAGTTTGTTTTATATCAGCACCAGCTAATTGGCATTACACTTATTTAATATTGAGAATAAACCAGCTTTGATGTCACGAGCACTGCTATTTGGTCCTTGATCCTTTCTACTTTCGAAGAAAACTATTATTAGCTATGCAAACCATAGGAATAGGGAGGGTTGTTTAAAATAGCTGCATTTGTATTATTAACTAAATAAATTGGATAGTTAGTAGCATTGGATACCCCAAATATGAAAAGCTGATTGATTGATGAGGAACAGTTTACTGTTTATGCCCTATATTTCGTTAAGTTCATCATTTGATTCCTCTTTTTGGAACATTCTTGTGTTGTCAAAGTTTATAAACATGTCTCACTTGAAAAAGGAGGGAAATTTTGTTCTGATGAGCAAAACCAGCAAATTCAAGTAAAACTGAAATCAAACTGAAAAGGCTCAAGTATGATACGAGTAACTAGTAATTGTTCCATATATGTCTGCTGATGACAGAAACTCCTACCATACTTTAGAGACATTTTTTCACAATTAGACGTTAAGTTGTGAGGCAGACCATATGCACAACCACGTACGACACTTTAGAACCCTATTTTCCCCTAGCCCACGTCATATTTTTACAAGCCTCACGTTGTCCATAACAAAACTAGGTTAGATTTTTGTGTAGACCCTTTAAGCATGAAAAGGGAATCAAAACATTGTCAACAAGGATATTGCTTTCCACTTTTCAGTAGTCAATTAATGTTGCTTACTGATAATAATTTGTAGGAAAAACATGCATGTACCTAAATTCAAATTATGTAAACGATATTTTGTCATGTGGAAATATATGATCAGTAGGTAATTAATTAAGTGAATGTGGAAACAAACAGTGAAGTCACTACATCGAGCACATATGTGTGGACTTGTGTTTAGTCAATCATGAATCATCAAGCATCATGGTGTGGGGGCACAGATAGCAGTATGATTAGAGTGATCAACTTTACAAAAACCCTTTTAAGGCGAGAATTTCACCTCTATAGTGTAATTAATTGCCTTTATCTTTGGTCCTTCCATGTGAGACTTCCAACCATATACGTCTAACTGTGAGAGACTTACATCATGTAATGCATGATATTATGCAGATGGGTTATTCTTTGCTGAGAAATAAATGGAGCAGTGCTAAATTCACGCTGTTGTGATTATGCACACTCCAATGCTTTTTACCAAGAAATTAATAAATTCCTAAAGAAAGCATATGGCATTGAACGTTGACCTTAGTAATCTGAGATCTTCTCGTTATTCTCTTCGTTTTGTTCTTATTGTATTTGTCAGCAATACCATGTTATTATATTTTACTCAAGTTAATGTCCCAATGCAGTATCTTATGAAATATTAAAAGTTGTGACTGCGTATGAAGCAGAGTACCGTGTACGACGGGAATCGCTTTGTCAATATGTTTTTCGAGCGTTTCTCGTTGGACGCTATCCATGATTGACATTAACTTGTTGGGTTTAACTGGGGACTTGGTAATCGTGTAACCAGTCTGAGTTTAAAGCGGAGAGGAAGAACTGTTTAATCTCGTGTCTCTGATTCCTTTCACGTATGGATTGTACAACATCAGGACAAAACTTTTTCATATAAAATCATCAGAAAACAGGATCTCAGTTGAAAGTATGCAGCCAATGATTTTTCTTTATTTTGATGCAATGCATTTTAAAATGCAAACTGAACTGATTCAAGATTAATCGATTGAGTTGTTCCTGTATTCTGAACCAAATTATAGTAAATAAATTAGCTATTTGGAGAGAAAAAACAAACCGAATTGAAAAGTAATTTGTTGGAATGGAATCAAACAAATATCTTGGTTCAGTTCATTATTGAGAATGGTTGAACATTTTAATTCCTAGTTTAGTTCAGTTCATTGGTAAATTTTGCTTAAAATTCTGTCTCAACAACCCCGATAGTGACATGGACATGTATCTAAAATTCAAATTAAATTATCTTAACATGAAGGATTTTTTTAAGTTACAGAGTCACTTTGTAGTAAATTTTTTTATAAATTACGATTATGAACAAATCTCACGATCTCAAAAGAAGTCGTGCAAGAATGCACGACTTCTACATTGACACATTCTTAAAGGTGAAGTCATATAAGATACACGACTTCAAGTTTGAAATTATCACCCCACTTCACCTTTGAAAATGTGTCAATATAGAAATCGTGTCCTTTCTATACGATTTCTTCATTTGAAGTCGTGTGTGGGATGACTTGTCTTATTTATAAAGATTTTGTCTACATTGATAACATGCACATGGTTTTGCCTATAAACATAAAAAAAAAATCCTAACATGCAGAGACATGAAATGGTTGAGGAGTTGTGTTTTGAATTAACAGAAGGACTTATTAGGTGGGATAGTGGGAATATGAAACCTGACCACTTTTATTTGCTGACTTTAATTTGTTTTTCACTTTTAGAACGGAGTATTTTTCACGTTAGGTGATGATCTTTTTGGCCTTCACTTTCCACACCATATTCTTAATACAGAGAATGGACTAGAGAACGGGGAACATTTGGTGCCACCATTTTAGGCTTAATTGCTGGGGGAACACACCATGCTTTTGATTTATTTGGTCATCGATGACCAAATGCACTCCTCCACAACGAGCTTTACCCTTTTAATTTGAAAGCAACACTATAGTGGTTGGTTTGGTAGTAAATAGATTCATTCTCTTAAACTAAAATATTTAAATGCTTGGAATAAAGTTAGTCAACAAGTCTCCATTTCCCATAAGCATCTTGACCTAAAGTTTTTCAAATTAACATATAAATTTAGACCCGGAGGTAGCCTAATCTAACACCTTCTCTCTGTGAATGGTGTGGATGCAACTTGGAACAACACCATTGTCTTGCACATGCTCTTTGTGACTGAGAGCAAAGATAGTCCAAAAGATTGCATGTGGTGTGGTGATTGGTGTGAATGAGTGATGAAAAATAGACCAAAATCCACACTATTCACTAACGTAGAGAAGATGGGTTGCCCCCACCAACTTGCGAATGTTGAGTTACTCTCTACAAGTTTATCCATTTCCATCCCTATCAACAATCTTCCTTCCATGTGATATTTAATATAAAGCTAAGAATATGCATTCATTCTTGTCAAAATTTGTGGCTGGGCTGTGACCCAAGGATAGTAAATACACACCTTTACTTTTTGCTTTATACTCTTAATACTACTTTTTAAGAACTAAACTCTGTCATTATATTTTATAGTTGACTTCAGTAAATTTCAAAACTTAAAACTTGGCCACAGTTAAAAAACCACATTATGGGATTGTTCTTGCTTTTGTTTACAGGACCCCATCTTGTTGTTCTGGAATGATTTGCTTCACTTGGAATGAATGTACAGTACGAGGGAAGGATAGACAACAGATAGAGGGGATCGATACCGGTTTCACAAAAAAGAGGAGACAACATTGTCAGTCAAATCGACAAACTCATTCATTACACCTTAAATTAAGTAAACAAC